AATATAGGTGACATTTTCATAATTAGAACATCTTAGTCTGCTGTTATCATTGTGATGTCGGTATCGTTTTGTGCTAAAGTGACTGTGTTAATCCTCGAACTGCCGTAACATCAATCTTCACGAGTGCACGTTTTATATTGTATCGCAATTTTCGGCGGTGCGTTAATATAAAAAATGATTAAGTCGTTTCTCTTCATTATCAGCGTTTATACCACAGCTACGAAATTGTGTGCCTCATTTTACCACCAAGCTTTCGTTTGCCTCTCGCCTACTTTGTCAGTCTTTTCTGCATTTCGTGCAAATAATCGTGTAATATTGAGTGGCTTGAGTAGCTTGCGTTCCCACGCTGCTATTCTACTAATTTGAAATAGGCGAAACATACAGTACGAATTGATTTGGTAATATTTTTTATTAACATTGGTCGTAGAAGTCGTAGTTGGTCCCATAGCGATACAAAGTTTGTTTTCCTAGAGTATTTCACTTCCTATTTCAGTGCGGTTAGTGATAAAGTGTGTGCTGTCTACCATCCCGAATATCCAAATGAATTCCACTTGACAGTTAGTGGTAGGACCGTGCTCGGTCGAGGTTTTTTATGTACCAAGAGGCTGTTTGACTAGAAAAAAAAGCGTGGAACGACTAGTTTGTTCAATCAATCACATCTTTCTCGGGAATGACCATGTACATAAGCCGGCCCGACCGTGCCAGTCTTGTGAAGTCACTTGTGGCATATTTAGCAGAAAGTCTCCGAAACCGCTTTTGACATGCCTCGTGACGCCTACAGCGTCGAGCCCAAGTTCTGCGGCCGAGTATGGATGAAAAAGATACCAAAATATTCAACGATGGCATGCCGGCGTCTTACCTAGCTCATTATCCTGATCATAGTGTCCAAGGTTTGGGCCCAGAAACCACACGGTGCGCTCGTCATCCTCTCAGGCGTATTAATGTATCGAAGCTAATAGGAAACCTGCATTTCTCTTACTTAACTCGTTTCATCCGGCACTCACTTTGCCCCTCACTTGCTATTCCGCTGCTTTGAGGTCGAGGGAGAGCTTGAGACTTGTGACTAAAATCGACGCTAGGCGTCCCTGCCAGCCTGTGGTTATCTTTTAGGTCGTAAATTGAATGTGTTGGTGGCTGGCGCGTACACAGATTTTCACTTTTATCCATACTTCTCCGCTGCGGCAGTGGAAGTAACTTGTAGCTTTCGTTGAGGCTGTTGTCGTTTTTTTCCCCAATGAAACTGATTGGGGTTCAGATAGTCGTAAAACCGGTCGAAGGGGTTCAATAATGACTTCCATTTGTACGATAGAGTGCTGAAAATTGTATATTCAAGCACCGTGCGTGGACTCTGGTTTTACTCTGGACGGGTTGAACAGCCCTGATAAGTGACGTTCACGCGTTTTTTGCTGTCTGATACCGTTGCTGCGGCGAATGCGAAGACCAATATTGACCCTCAATATACACTAACAGTGTGGACGCATGTGAGGTTGGGTGTTAGCAACGTATTTCAGGTTTACATTCTTACCACTTCACCGTAGCTCTCTATGTACGTCTAGCTTTAAAGATTATAGTTCAATTTTTCACAGTGGCTGAATATATTGGCCGATCCTGTACGTGAGTTGCCTCGGAGTCTTTATTGCCTCAGGAGCATTTTATGGCTTGAAAGTTAAAAGCCTCTTAGTACCATTGCTTCTGTCATTGTCTGCGATGCCTGGAGGGGCATCTAACTTTTTTTCACAGTCGGTTTGGGGGGTCCCAAGCTGACATGCTCATGGCTTAGACACATTTTCAGGATACCTAGCATACCATTCCTTTCGGAGACCCTGGTGTCCGTGGTCTTTTCGAGCCGCTTTAAAAGCCCCCGAAACGCCTACGTCCTTTGGAATCTCCAA